TAATAATAATTATTATTATTATTATTATTAGGATATCTTTAATCAATTCACTACAAGCAAAGAGATAATGCCATGAAGACACAAGGGGCTTCTAGGAGTGCAATAAATGAAAAGGTGTTTAGAATGAACCGGAAACCCATCCCTAAACAGAAAACAAGGGATACAATTCTACTTCTGTTCAAATACCGTGGAGGGGGCTGTAAACCGGTCGATAGACGAACCCATCTAATCCAATTGAATAAAGAAATGAAATAAACAAATAAAAAACTCAATCCTAAACAAGAAAAAACAGATAGATTCTCTAAACCTGTTGAAAAAATATCGGGGAGGAATGTAAACCAGACGATAGGCGAACCCACCTAAATCTACTGGAGAGAAGAAAGAAACGATGAGTGAATAAAACTAAGACGGACACGTTAAAAGTATAGATTTGATGTAGACTTTAGAAGGAACCGGAAACACAGTCCTAAACATGAAAAAAGGGATTAACCTCTACTCCTGTTCATAAGTAATCTCCATTTGAAGTTATCGAAGAACAAACTGATAAGTGGCAACAAGTCATTGATAATAATGGCGAATATATAACTCATCCGCCTCTGGTTCTTGTCAAGAACTCCGAGGTAAACAGAAAGTGTACCAGACCATATATGGCAGCAATACTCCATGCAAGAGCGAATTGTTGATTTGTAGATCTGGAGGATCGACTCCGGGGAGAAAAACTTCCTGGCGCGGCTCAGGGAGCCAACTTTCCTACAAGTAATTCATAATAATATTTCAAATTTTGAAATCATATTTATTTTTGTCATATGAATTTTTTGAAACTCTTTCTTAATCATTTCGCCTCACCTGATACTCTCTTCCGCCGCAGATATGAAGCCAGCCGCATCATTTGGGAAACACTGGTAAAGTAAATTCTGTTTGTTAGACATTTCTGCAAATTCATAGCCAATTACTCTACATAGTATAAAAAGTACGATATGTTGTCTTCTTTACGACGCAGTAGATTCATTTGTTTGACTCGATTTTAAATAAATAATTTGAGAAAACTTCACATTTGGTAATAAAAACAATGTTCAGATGACTCGTTAAAAAGGAAGGAAGTGAATTGAAACTGTATTTGTAAAATGACAAAGGCTCCTCTTTTAAGATGAACAAAATCAATATCCTTCGATTTTAACAAATGTCTTGTTTTAAAGGTCTAATAAGACTTAATCTACCAACTACTTAATCTAGTATATATATATATATATATATATATATATATATATATATATATATATATATATATATTTCATTCATACACGTTTCATTAAATAATATAGACGATATAGTCTTATATGCACGTGTTTATGGTTGCTAGAAAATCATCCATCTAAACAATCACAGACTATCATCATTGCCTTGTCCGTATATTGCTTAATATGTTGTACAGTAATTGACATCTTTGATAATGGCTTATGTAAGCCGAAAGCTTAGATTGGATTAAAAAATATGGATCAATATTGTGATTTTCTTTCTTCGTTTAATGATAATGCTATTAAGTTTATCAGACGTTATGAAAAGAATTTACATAAAATAAATAAACAACACTTGTCTATATTATTTAAATGTATAAATATATATATATATATATATATATATATATATATATATTATTATTAGTAGTAGTATTAGTAGTAGTAGTAGTAGTATTATAAATATATAAATTATTTTCCACCCTGCAACCGCTCTCTCACAGACGGCATGTAGCAAGCGTCTCTCTGCCATATCGCTACTTCCGTGGGATGTGCTCGGACGAACTTCATTATAGGGTACGGCCAGTTCTAATTTTCACGAGAGTTCCATTCGAGCAGCCGCAAACCACTGCTCCGTGGAAACACCTCCCAAGAGGATATTTCTCCTATCAGTGCAGTCTTAACCTGTTCAAGTCTAGGGTTAACCGTTATCTTCCCGGCTTATCCGCGTAAACTCTGTCTTTTTATCAGTAAAACTTTACTTCGAGTGGCCCACAGGCCTTGTACAAGGTAAACCTCAATGTAAAAAAAAAGAGAAGAAGCCACAAATCAACGTAATTCAGTAAATCTCTTACTTGTTTGGCTATTAGGTCTTGCATTAGATGAAAAATGGTGTAAAAATGACTAAAATAACTCCTATTATCACTGTAGCAGAGAGAGAGAGAATGAGAGGGAGAGAGAGGGAGAGGGAGAAGGAGTGGGAGAAGGAGATAGTAAGAGGGAGAGTGAGAGAGAGTGAAAGGGAAGGAGGGTGAGAGAGTGAAAGAGTGAAAGGGAGGGAAGGAGAGTGAGAAGGAGAGATAGGGAGAGTAGGAGGGAGAAGGAGGGAGAGGGAGAGAGTGGGAGAGAGAGTGAAAGGGAGGGAGAGAGAGGGAAAGGTATAGAGAGGCAGAGGGACAGAGAGTGGGAGTGGGTGGTAGAAGGAGAAAGAGAGTGAGAGTGAGAGTGAGAGACAGCATTTGCTGTCAGCATGGCTTGTTTGGTTT